CCTACAGTCCCTTTTTCCAACACAAGGCACAATTTCTGTTTGCACTGATGCAGGAATAAAATTAGGACAACAACTCTTTCCACAGGTGCTGCAAAGATACAGTCTTTGACAGGTGCGCTGCTGGACTTTGTACTAACAACGAAAGAAGGTCTGGTTGGAGATGTGAAGGCTGGGGGCAGCCTTGGCTGCAGTGACCATGAGATGGTGGAGTTCAAGATCCTTCAAGGAGGGAGCAGGGCAATAAGTAGGATCACAGGCCTGGACTTCAGGAGAGCTACCTTTGGCCTCTTCAGGGACCTGTTTGGAGGAGTCCCATGGGTTAGGGCCCTAAAAGGAAGGGGGATCCAAGAAAGCTGGTTAATATTCAAGCATCGCTTCCTCCAAGCTCAAGATCGGTGCGTCCCTCGGAGTAAGAAGTCCAGCAAAGCGGGCAGGAGACCTGCATGGATGAGCAAGGAACTCCTGACAAAACTCATACAGAAGAAGAAAGTCTACAGAATGTGGAAAGGGGGACAGGCCACGTGGGAGGAATACAGGCACGTTGTTAAGAGTATGCAGGGATGCGATGAGGAAGGCTAAGGCCCATTTGGAATTAAATCTGGCAAGGGATGTCAAGGACAACAAGAAGGGCTTCTTCAAATACATCAACAGCAAAAGGAAGACTAGGGAAAATGTGGGCCTGCTGCTGAACGGGGTCAGTGCCTTGGTGACGAAGGATACAGATAAAGCAAAGTTACTGAATGCCTTCTTTGCTTCAGTCTTCACTGCTAAGGCCAGCCCTCAGGAACTCCTGACCCTGGGGACCAGGGATAAAGTCTGGAGAAAGGAAGACTCTCCCTTGGTTGAGGCAGATTGGGTTAGAAATCATTTGTGCACACTCGACATCCACAAATGTGTGGGCCCCGATGGGATACGTCCACGAGTGCTGAGGGAGCTGGCAGGTGTTGTTGCTAGGCCACTCTCCATCATCTTGGAAAGGTCCTGGAGATCAGGAGAGGTGCCTGAGGACTGGAAGAAAGCCAATGTCACCCCAGTCTTCCTAAAGGACAAGGAGGAGGAGCCAGGGAACTACAGGCCTGTCAGCCTCCCCTCCATCCCTCGAAAGGTGGTGGAACAGCTCATCCCGGAGGCCATCTCTAAGCATGTGGAGGACAACAAGGTGAACAGGAGTAGTCAGCGTGGATTCACCAAA